CAGTTCGTTCTCCCTCGAGTCGTCGGTCAGAAATCCAGACGCATCTTCGGTGTATGCAAATTTCAAGTGCCGAGTGTGGTTCACCTGGTACATTATGCAGATGCATACAGCTCATAGACCTGCCGAATTCTGGTTAGCTGTGGTGTCCGGAGCAGACGCGAATGGAGATCTATGGCTCTGGGAGGAGGAGGATGAAGAATACATCAAAGCATTCATCGAGGATCACTCTCTGATTTCGTACCTCGACATGCCCCTCGAGGACTGGTACAATGCTGGCCAAGCCCTGCGAGTGCGCCAAAATAGACCTCGGCCAATGAGAGGCCCATTATCTCACCTTACTTCCAAGACTCGACTTCGTTTCATCTCATGGCTCATTGTGGCGGAAGTAGGCCAAAAGAATCACCTATTGCAATCGGGAGAGATTGGAAGCCTCGGGGAATTGGTCGCATGGTGGGGTAGCAGTACGGTTGCCGACTACGAGGAAGAATCATGCGAGCTTTGCCACGGGATTTCAGATCTCTTGAGAGTTTGGTTGGAAACCGTATTAGAGGTTTACTTGCTTGATGATTTGTGGTCGATCCCATGGGATGCTGAATGTAACTGCTTCCCGAGGTGAGCATAGCTTCATTATTCTGACTTCATGAATTCACTGCTCTCCTAGGCAACTGGCGGCCATGGCAGATTCAGGTCAATCCAGGACGATTCAATTATATCAAAGGAATTCTGCAGCACATCATGCGCTTTTTGAGCTCATCGTCCCTCCTTGGCCCTTCATTCTCTGGGTGGTGTTCCGCACGGTCGGGAATAATGGGACCGAACCGTTGCAGACATTTTTGGACATCCTTCGCGGCCCCGATCAGGATCTCTTTACTTGGGACAATGCCGACAATGATTTCTTGCTTTATCGGATTCTTGTGAATTACAGTCAACTTGGGCTATATCCTCAAGATTGGAATCGATACATGGTCGACATTGATTTTAAAACTTGGTGGCAGATCAGAAACATGACTCGGACTGTGGACCGACCACGCAGGGAACCCGATGACCTACTGATTCGACTGGCTGCTGTTTCTCTCAGATTCTCCTCCGCATTGATTATCCCTCAAAGTATCCTTGCGCCGCTCGGTATGAGTTTCGATTCATATCCCTTCTCCGCCATAGCCCTTGTGGTCGATAAAAACTACAAGAAGCAGTCGACTCCCAATGACCTCGGGTTTAAAGAACTCTGGGCCGATCCAGACCTGGGAAAGTGGTTATTGGCACGCAGTCAAGACCTTTGCCATGCCATCTGGCACACTTCCTCTCCCATGACTACTTTGGAGCGGGTCCAATCTATTCACCTCGGTTTGACTGTACCCACCGAGGTTAGCTCATTTCTTACAGCTCGAAAACGACTCACCGCCAGAATGAATAGGACGTTTTGCCGATGTGTACATATTTTCTCCTGCTGCAGCCTGATAACAGGGATATGTAAGTTGCTGTGAGCCTGGACTGCCATGTGTATATCTATATTCACTGTGCGTCAAAAACATTCAGTGAATCCTGGGATTTCAGAGCATCACTAGTACAGCACAGGTTCCTAGAATCTCTGAAACATTACCGCTCGGATTTGGATAATATGTTCACCTTGCTGAAGTACCGCCAGCGGTCCATGGAGGTGCTTGCAACCTCCTCCAGTCCTTGACAGTTGCTTTGCTCATTAATCCTTCCAGGATCGTTCTACGACCAGCCACACAACTTCAACGGATGTGTACAAGCATATGAACCTGGTTATCTCTGTCGTTGTCGCTGAACTAGCTCTTTTCCTAGAAGATCGAGATTCATACAAACAGCTTTTGGCGTGTCGCGGGACGGAGGCGCAAGGGCTTCTTGATCTCTTGCAAGATGTAAGCACCCCATTCCCAAATGTTCACTTTAAATGAACAACACCCAGTTTCTGGATCTCGACTCCTTTTCTGTGGTCAAGCCCGTGATATGCAAGGCATTATTACGACTTTCTCGTGCATCGGGACTGCATCCCCGATGCTTTGCTCTTTCTGATCTACAAAAAGTTGGTCAACAAGTGGCAGCCGGAGGGTTTGGAGATATCTGGAAAGGCTTGGTCCGTGGACAAAGTGTCTGTGTTAAAGTCATGCGGATATTTCGGGAAGACGATGTTCGGGCTGTACTTAAAGTTCGTTTCTCCACATCGCCTTCCCACAGACCATTTGGGTTAGACATATATCCAGGAATTTGGGCGAGAAGCCCTCATATGGCGTCAGCTCTGTCACCCAAACCTGCTTCCCTTCTTCGGTCTATACTACCTGGACAACAGGCTGTGTCTGGTCTCGCCGTGGATGGAAAACGGAAATGTTTCGGAATTTTTAAGAAGAGAGCCCAATGCAAGCTGTCTTTCGCTCGTAAGTCCAGGAAACTGTTCTTGATTCAGTATCAAATCCAATATCACAGATGTTGGATGTAGCCCTCGGGCTCCAATACCTGCACGAACGCAATATAGTGCATGGGGATTTGAAGGCGGTATGTAATCAATGTCTGCCGAAACGGGCTCATGAATATTTCCCTTGATCTAATGCAAAGATTAATATCCTCGTAACGCCGTCGCGGCGGGCCTGTATTGCTGATTTTGGACTTGCCTCAATCGCAAATGCGATGACCGTGTGCTTCACCCATTCGACAGCAAACTCGCATGGAGGAACAGCACGCTATCAAGCACCAGAATTATTCCAAGGAGGAAGTAAGACCCACTTCGGGTCGGACGTTTATGCTTTCGCTTGTGTTTGCTATGAGGTTGGCTAGATCGTCTATTCCTTTCCTCCTAATCGTGAAATAATATAATTACCAGATATTGACAGGAAGGGTTCCGTTTTACGAATTGCCAAATGACATGAATGTTATGTTCAGGGTTGCTGGGGGAGAACGCCCCACACGCCCAACATCGTGGTTGGGCACATCAGCACTAGTACTTGGCAGCCTTTGGGACCTACTCCAAAAGTGTTGGGATGGGAAGGCCGAGATGCGGCCGACGGCTTCTCAAATTGTCGGAGAGCTAATGAGCCCTTTGATTCGGGCGAAGACTACTTCATCCACGACAGACTGGGATGAGAAATTTACTTCTAAATTTCGTCGCTCGTTGCAGGCCCAACCTTTGCTGCGTCAGTGACACAGATTGAACGCATGCTTTTCGGAGATGGTTAGTTCAAATTGACAAGTCCTTCTATATCTTCTGATTTTTCATAAAGGTATTGTCGAAGGTAAAATTACTCAATCAGGGAAAGAAACTCTACTGAGGTCCAATGCAGCGTGCACAGAATGTTTTCCAGACAGAATCCCCGCCTAACAACAAAGGTGCCGGGCATTGTCCTATCGACATCTTCACTGGTTTACCATCCAATAGGCTCGCCGGGACGGCAGCCCAAGCGTCCGTATGAAGAAGAAAATCAGATTCAAATCCCAAGGACAACTTGAACGCGCGAGACCAACACCCAAGGGCCAAAAAATCGAAACTTTCACTTGGAATCCCCACAGTGTAGGATTTGACAACAAGGCGAGAAGGCGTCTGAGATCGAGTGTTTAGTAGATATTTTTTTGTTACTTTCACTATGCGAAACGTTGTTGGACTGCGACAATCGGCCACATAAATTGTGTGGACACGGCAACCCGACAGCGCTCGCTGACTCGAGCGAAATTGAACTATGTTTGCGGAGATCATGAACATCCCGAGAGCATAAAAATCATCACAATGGCCGTCGCAAACTGGTCACTTCGGCTATTTTTGGCGCATTTTAGGTCATTTTTGCCTAGAATGGGGAACTTGAGGCCTCTGTTGCGTGGTCAAATGTGGATCAATTCCATTGAAGTAAAATGTGAGTATGCCTCATTTTTCAAGTACTTTCATGCTGTGATGACCATTTTTCATAGCATCCAATTCCACAAAGTCGATTTTTCAGATTATGCCAATTATTTTTTATCTCGGGATAACAAAGTAGGTATGGTATGGTTCTTTTGGTGCATGGGAGCATGAAATCACTCAATGTTCATGCTACAATTTTGTTTGAAGGAATTCGGCCCAGAATTGAGCTCAAACGGTGATGTCCATTTCTTTTTGCCGCCACTGTATGCAGACGTGGGGGGTCCGACCCCGGGAGCTGTTTAACTCTTCTAGAAAGTTAACAATAAAGGCAGTCGTGCCCCACGCATCACGTCCGCTTTCTTTTATTTCTTGTGTGAATGAGAGGAAAAAAACCGATTACTTGCAACTGTGGCCAAAAACAACTAACAGACTAATGCGGACACAGGGAGTCGAACCCCGGAGCTGCTTAAGCTTAGAGGGGCCACGACATAGAGGGCAGCGGTGCACCGTGCACTACATCCGCTTCCTACCCCAGTTCATTCTTTGTGTGAGTGAGAGTGAGTCAAAAAAAAATGGATTTGAACTGTAGCCAACAAAAAATATCATCAACAAAACATGCAGACGTGGGGAGTCGAACCCCGAGTCTAGGGCCGAGAACTGCTTCACCAACTTCCAAGTTAATAAACTGCAATCGAGAGCAGGTGCATTACGTCCACTTTCTACCCTCCATCCCTGCCTGGGGTGTATAGGTAAGAAGCGAAATGAATTCGAACCGTAACACAAAAAGCTGGCAGAATTATACACCATGCGGATACAGGGAGTCGAACCCCAGAAGCTGCTTCATGGATGTATTGCAAGCCACAGAGGGCAGCAGTGCACCGTGCACCACAACCGCTTTCCTCCCTCCCCTGAAATTTGAACAGTGAGTGAGAGTGAGAAAAACAGTTGATGCAGCTCAATCATGCGGACACAGGGAGTTGAACCCTGAGAGTTGCTTCAATGGAATATTAATGCTTTGTGGCAACCGAGTGCAGCAGTGCACTGTGCACCAGTTTGCTTCCTACCTTTGTTCCCTTTCTGGGTTAGTGAAAAAAAAGGATTTGGACTGCGAGTGACCAAAAGAAAAAATGAAAACGAGCTGCATACCTCATGCGGACGCGGGGAATCGAACCCCAGTGGCTGCTGTGCAATTTTTGGGCATGTAATAGAGAGCAGCGGTGCACCATGCACCATGTCCGCTTTCCATCCCTCCTCCTGAAATTCTATAAATGACGTGAAAATTGGCTTCGATGTAAGAAAGAAAAACCAAAAAATTGTCGCCATTCTACAGGAAGGCGGACGCGGGGAGTCGAACCCCGGGAGCTGCTTACGTTTTTGGGTGCTGTAACCTACTTACAGCTAACTGCAAAACCCTAGAGCGCTTCTAAAAAAACTTGACTTACACTCGTTGACATCGCTTACATTCGCTTACAGTACTCCAGTGCGCGCAGGTGTGGAGCGCTGTGCTTCAAAAGGAAATTGACGTCATAAATTGCTCGTGAACTTTTTTTGAAAGCGCTCTAGGGTTTTGCAGTTAGCTGTAATCAGGGCAGCGGTGCACCGTGCACCACATCCACTTTCTGGGCTCCATTCCTACTCTGTGTGTGTGAGTGAGACAAAAAATGGGTTAAAACCGTGAGAAAACCAAAAAATAGGGGCAATACAAAGCTATGCGCGGATGCGGGGAGTCGAACCCCGATGGCTGCTTACTCTTCGTAGTCATCATCGGCACAGTAAAGGCAGCGGTGCACCATGCACCACATCCACTTTCTACCGTAGTTTATTCTCTTTGTGAGTGAGAAGAGAAATTTGGATTTAAACTGTGCCTGTGTGTGTGTGAGAGAGAGAGAGAGAGAAAAGGAACAAGAAAAGAAGAATGCGGACGTGGAGAGTCAAACCCCGAGAGCTGTTTCAAATTGCCAGGACTGTTCATTGCCGACCCACAGAGGGCAGATGTGCACCGTGCACCACGTCCGCTTTCTACCTTCCTCCCGAAACGCTAGGAGCGAGACAGAAAAAAATGGAGAAAGACAAAAACAAAATAAAACGACCGAAGAAGTGTATACGGACGCAGGGAGTCGAACCCCGGTAGCTGCTTTACTATTCAATTCCCCTGATAATGAAGGCAGCTGTGCACCATACACCACGTCTGCTTCTTACACTTTGAGGGATAATAGGTTGGGTAGGCCTTTTTTTCTTTGAGCTTTGAAGAGTGCCGGTAAAACACGGGAATTGGACCATACACAAGCGTACGGAATACACACGGAAAAATGAAACAAGCCTTGCCCCGCATTTCTTCCGCACGCGTGGGTGAGCGGGAGTCTAAATGCAATGGGGTCCCACGACGCGGGGTCATTCGGGAAGAAACGAGATGGTGGCAGAACAAGAACAAGAAAGACCCGTCCCTTATGCCGTAACTTGTACTTTATGTTTGTCGTCTGCCTCTAGCCTTATCCTCAACCACCCTTGCTTGCTCCTCGTACTCGTACTAAGCCCTACGACAAAACCAAAAATGCGGTTCCGGACGCTCGAAATCCGGTGGCACGACTCCAAGCCAATCTCGTCGTGTGACTTCCAGCCCGTGCCCTTCAAAAAAGCGCGCCCGCCCCCGGGGAGCGCGCCCAGCGCTTTTGCGGCGCAGGCGTATAGACTCGCGACGGCGGGGGAGGACAACCATGTGCGCGTGTGGATGGTGTATCCGAATATCCGGCCGCTCGACCTCGAGGGCGCAGGAGAGGGTGTGGCACCGAGGCCGGCGCGCGTGGAGTATCTGGCGACGCTGAGCCGGCACTCTGCGGCGGTGAATGTGGTGTGGTTCTCGCCGAATGGTGCGCGTCGAGGCTCTTCCTTCTTTCGATAGAATGAAGTGGGGACGCTGACGCTGACGCCACTGTGCAGGGGACCTCATCGCGTCCGCGGGCGACGACGGGATGGTCATCATCTGGGCGCAGTCCGCCACACCGCAGACCAGGTTTGTCTCCCTCTTTCTTTATCTTGCACCAATATTCTTCGTGTACTAAGACTTTCGCCACAGCACGGTACGGCTCGGACCTCTCCCCGGACGACCTGCAGCACGAGAAGGAGTACTGGAAGCCGCGCACCACATTTAGGTACGACGATACAGGTGTACGACGACCATGATTCTCGCCGTCGCAATGACCATCTCCGCGGCCCTAGTTACTCCCCGCGACTTTATCGTGCGTTCGTGACAAAGTTCAACTGCAAGTGATATTTAGTTTTTTTTTTTTGTAGAAGAGCATACGCAGGGATCGATCCCAGAGTTACTGCCTGGAGTTGCGGGCCGTATCATTGAGGTACATTTACTATGTTCTGGTCCAGTCGACACGCTGCTCACCTCGTCTTTCTAGAGTCCAATAATGAGTGCGATCGAGTCCCTTTTCGCCACTTTTTTCAGTCAGCCTCCCAACGTTCGACCTCGGGAGCATTCCAATCGGACATCTCCCCGAATTGTCTCCCAATGGCGTTCCCCTCGATCTATTGGTTGGATCCCGTAAGTCACAGCCGTTCCCAACCTTCCCGAAATTAAGATTGACATGTATTGCATTGTTTTTAGGCCCCAACTCCTTCGGAGGCTCCGGCTCAGACAGAACCTGCGGCCCTCCCCGTACCAGATGCCCCGTGCCCGTCCAGACAAGCCCGCACTGTGATAAAGCAGTACTAATGTCCGTACGTATACCCGCCCGGCTTCCTTCGCCGGCAGACGAAAGAGCAGTCTGAATGGTCCTTGGGCGTGTATCACTTACTTATCGAGAGATGCCTTGTACTTAGGCTGGATGGTTTTTTCCTGTGAGACGATTTCCAGAAAAAGAAATATGACCCACTTACGAACGGAATGTGAATTGTGCAAGAAACCGATGTACACTTCCTTTTCTGTCATCTGTGACCTAAAAAACACACTGAGAAGGCAACTCTGCAGGCAAACACAACCGACGAAGCAGACAGTCAGGAAATTTTAGTTCCCAGACAATATACACAGATAAGAGAGCGATTAGCACATCTTTGTTATACACTAAGGAAATAAAGCGCAAACCACCAAGAAGGAGAAGAAAAAACAAAGCAGACCGAGCCCATTCATTCGTTCATTTCCTTTCCTCCACTTCCCGCCGACAAGATCCCCGATACCCATCAGCGCCACACGTTACAGATCCCCCACCCTCGTCAGCGCAACACGGCGCTTTTTCTTCGGCGGCCCGTCCTCCCCAGCCGCCTCCGCGTCGGTATCAAGACTCGAGATACTCGCCCCCGACGTCGACGCAGACATCATGCCTGAAGCGGCCGACGCAGGCGTAGGCGTGGACGTGGGCATCGGCATCGGCTGCTCGCGGTCCCCGTCCACGCTCGCCGCCGGCGTCAGCGGCTCCAGCGGTCGTTTCCTCCCTCCACTTTGGCTCCCGCTCGCACTCTGACTCCCACTCTGGCTTTGACTGCTGCTGGGAGCGTAGGAGATGGGCACGGAATGCACCGCCGCGATCTGCTGCAGCTGGAGCGCAGCCTGCTGCGTGTGGTGCGTGGGGAGGATCTCGTCGAAGGTGACGAGCGTGCAGTAGCCGTCGCGCGAGGAGAGCATCAAGCATTGGCCGTCAGGGGACCTGCACCGCGCGAATGCGTATCAGTAAATCATAGCCGAGATTGAGATTTTGAATAGGAAATGCGAGGGGGAAAAAGAGCGGGAGACTCACCACGTCAAATCCGTAAACTCATCATAATGCAGCTTCGTCAACAGACACACCGGCCCCGCCTGCTGCGTGTCGTAGATCGCCACCGTGTCCATCGTCACCACTGCGTACAACATCCGGTACGGCAGCGCGAAGACGCTCCCCGTGCTCGAGTTTGGCGTCACGGCAGGCGTGGTCGACATAGGTCCAGCATAACCAGGCGCGGGCGTCCCCGGCTTCGACGCCGCCGGCGTCGGCGGGCGGCGTCCACTGCTTAGGTCCGTCGGCGACAGCGCGGGCGACGCGAGCACGTCGAACGATCTTTGCGGCGCTGGCGCTGCAATGCCCCCACCCGCACCCGCGTTCGCGTTTGTATTTGCGGGCGGCGGGGGCACCACCGGCCCCACCAAATCGACCTCCATACTCTCCTCCACGTCCCTCGGCTGCTCCCCCTCTTCGCCAGTCGCTGTGCCCGTGCCCATGCGCGGCTCCAGTGCTTGCGACGCGTGCGCCGCCCCACCGCCACCCTGCACATTGGGCCGCAGCTCAAAAAGCACCGGACTAAACCGCACCGCGACGCTCGCCTTCTTGTGCCCCGGCAGCTGCGCCACGGGCGGCCGCGCAAAGTTCGCGCGCGAGTAGATGTACACCGACGAGTTGGGGTTGGCGTCGCCCGCTGCGGTTTGCGCCGCCGTGGTGGACGACGAGGAGCCCATGCCGAGCGAGGTGGACACGAGCGCGGCGCCCGTAGAGATAACCGGGCGCGCTTTCCGCCCGCGCGACGGCGTGTCATCCGCCGGCGTCGCGCTCGCGCTCGCATCCTTGCTGCTGCTAGCGACGGGTTTCCCCTCCTCCACCACACCCAGCGCACCCGCACCCGCGCCCGCGCCCTCCCACCCCACCACACTCGCACTGGGGTCCTCAAACGTCCCCGCGGGCGTCAACAACAACGCCCCATCAGGACTAAACGCCAAGCGCCGGAAAAAATTGCTGAAGCTCTCGTCGCCGTAGAGCCGCGCGCCGTCCGTGTGCCGCCGCTCGTCGTACCCGTATCGCCCGCGTTCGTCCGCGTATCGACCCGTGCCGCTGCGCTCGTCGGCATAGCGGGAGGTGGCGTTCGAGTTGCTGCGGCTGCGCTCGTCGTAACGGTCCCGGCTTCGTGTCCGCTCTTCGTACCGCCCGGCCCAGCCGGCGCTGGCGGAGGGCGGGGTACGGATCGCGGGGAGGGCGGGCATAGGGGAGGGACTGCGGCCGTAGGCGCGCGAGAAGCCCGAGACGGCGGAGAAGCCTGGCAGGGTAACGTTAGCAAGTTTGGGGAGGGATAGCGAGAGGGGCATGAAAGTGCGGCAGGAGTGGAGGGGAACCAGAGAAGGGTGGGGTGTGGTACGAGGTATTTGGGAGGATGGAAGATGAGGGATGCAGGAAGGGAGGGATTGAGATTGGGTGAAGGAGCAGGGGCCAGGAAGGTAAAGTAAAGTGGGGAGGGAAGAAGAAAGGAAGGTGGGTTAGTTTCGTTTACGGCGAACTGGTGGCACAAGGCGGGGAGGGGCGAGGGATGAGGGGAGGAAGGTAGAACAAAATTATGGGCAGGTGTCGGTATGAAATAGGGATAGAGGGAAAAACGAAGTGCAAACGTGGACCAAGAACAAAAACAAAACGAACTCACCACTCGGCGAACTCGGCGCATTACTCCCGCTAAACGACGACCGCCGACTCGACGGCCCCGCAGGCGGCGGCGGGAACATCGCGCTGTTGCTTGTATTACTTCCACTTGCACCCCCACCACCCACAGCCATCATCGACGCGGGCGTCCCCGGCCCCGCAAACGGCGTCTCCGGCTCCGCAAAGTCGCGCTCCCCGCCCTGCGCGCGGTCGCTCTCGATCGACGCGCTGCGGAAGGTCCGCGGGCGGGGCCATTCCTGCGTCGTGCTCGCGCTGGTGCCTGCGCTCGCGCCTGTCGTGCTCGTGCTCGTGCCTGTATATGCATCCGCATTCGTATTTAGCATTGAATATGCGCCAGCAAGGAGGGACGGCGCAACGTACCCGTAGGCAGCGAAGGCGTGGGCAGCGCAGGCGTGCTCACCCCACTCCCGCTCACCCCGCTCACCCCGCTGAGGTTCAGATGCAACGAACTCGGCGTGAGGAGCTCCTCCCGGTGCACGCTCGGCGTGCGGCTGTGTGCTCGGTCTCTCCCTCCGTCCCTCCCGCTTCCGGTGCCGGTTCCATGCGTGTTTTGGTGCGAGAACGAGTCGCGGTGCGAGTGAGGTTGGTGGGATTGGGAGGAGTGGGAGTCGCGGTGGGAGTGGGGAAAGCGTGTGTTGCGCCCGATGGCGTGGGCTTCGAAGGTTCCCTGCGGGGAGGAAGAGGAAGGAGGTGAGTACATATTGATCATTAGTTTGGAGGAGGGGGAAAGAAAGGAAAGGAAACAAAACGAGAAGGAAAGACAGAGTGAAAGAGAAGCAGATTTCAAAAACGGAGTACGCTCGCTGCGCAGTACAGGACGCGGGCAACGGAGAGAATAAAAGTAAGAGGGAGAGAAATAAAATAACATCAAAGCACCACACGGCACACGGCACCCTCTGCGTTCACAACGGCACAGCGAACCGACCGTCAAGAAGGAACCATAACAACGAAAAAAAAAATCCGGATCCACCGTGCAAACGCGCTGCGTCCTCCCCGCGCCCCGCGTCGACAACAACACAGTGCGAGAAGCCTGGACGCCCCACGAACACCACAACCGCGTCCACACCCACCACCACCCACGGAATCGACGAACACACCGCGAAGGAGACGCGGAACGCAAGGCGAGGCGAGACCGGTGATCAGACCAGAGCGGCAAAAGAGCAACACGCAGCAGGATACCGCCGGCAAAAAAACGCGAAACAACAAGGTCTGCGTCCGAACACGCAGGAAAGCGAGAGGAAAAAGGACCCAGACCCAGAGCGCGCGAGTGGAAAATGAACGAGAAACAAAAGCAGGAAAAGAGTAGGATAGGTAAAAGAGTGAAAAAGAAAGTAAAAAGTAAAAAGTAAAAAGACGAAAGACAGACAGCGTCCACGAAGGGGCGACTGCGTATACACGTACACAGGTCGTCCAGTCCCAAGGGTCCCAACCCGCGCCCCAAAGACGAAGATAGTTCGGGAGACGAACGACAGAGAACCGCAAAACAGAAACAGAACAAGACGAAGTGAAAACAGAAACAGAACCGCGAAGTAGAATCAGACCAGACAAGACGGAGTGAAAGGGAAAATAAGAAAGGAAAGTAAGGTAATGAAACAAAAAAGGGAATAGGAATAGAACGCGCTCGATAGCAGATAGAATACGCGCCGATACGTGTGGGAAGCAAGGAGCCTCGCACGCGCAGCCCAAGAAAACAAGAAATCGAGGGTCCCTCCAGTGGGTCCGACCCCGACCCCACAGCGTCCAGGAGCGCGGCGAGAGGGTAGATAGCGCTACACCCCCGAGAAACAACGCAAGCAAAAAAAAACGAGGAAGAAAAGGGCGCCAATGAGACGGAAACGAAAGAAACTGCCGCGGGGAGACGACGTGCGCTCGTGCGAAACGCGTTCGTGGACGACGGCACACGCGCAGTTTTGCTTTCCTCCCCTCTCCGCCCAAACTCCAAACTCACAACCCAAAAACGTAAAAGCTCACCTTCCCCCCACTCCCCACCCCCACCCTATACACATGCATACTCCTGTCGGACGACTGCGTCGCGATGTACTCCCCGAGCGGGTCCCACGCGACGCCCTGCACGTAGTGCGCGTGCTCGGCGATTTCGTGGAGGCATTTCCCTGTTGGGTGTTTTTAGTCTCAGTATTCTTTTCGTTGTTTAGTTATTTTGGAGGGGGGAGGAGGGATTCTTGAAAGGGAAGAGGCAAAGGGAGGGTGGGGAAGAGGTGATAGGAAGAAGGGGAGAAGGGAAACGGGAAAAGGAGGAGGGAGGGAGAGAAGGGGAGAACGAGGGGAGGTGGGGATAACGCGCACATCCAGAGGCAGGCGAGAAAATGGGAATAGGACACGGAGAGGAAAGCGGAGAAAGGGGGAGAGGGAGGACGAGGCGAAGGGGAGGGAAAGAGGGATGCGAACAGAACGCGATGAGGCCAGAGGGAATAGGGAAGGGGGACGCGCTCAAGCACCCGTCGAGGATAACAAAGAACAGAAAGAGGGCGTGCGAGGGAACGCGGACAGCAAAGCAACAGGAGTGACGCGCTCGCACGATCGACACCAACGGCGGGCGGACGCGCTCGAGAAAAGAAAAGAAATGAGATGAAAAAGAAACGCGACGCACCATCCACGCTCGCAAACACCCTTGCGCAGTTATCCGTGCTCCCCGCGAGCAGAAACTCGCCCGTCGGGCTCCACGCGAGATCGTACACCTGCATCGTCGTGCACCGGAACGTCGTGCGCGGTTTCCAGTACTCCTTCTCGTGCTGCAGGTCGTCCGGGGAGAGGTCCGACCCGTACGTGCTGTGGCGAAAGTGTTAGGTGTTAGTACACGAACCTTATTGGTGAACGAAAAAGAGAGACGAACCTGGTCTGGGGCGTGGCGGACGGCGCCCAGATGATGACCATCCCGTCGTCGCCCGCGGACGCGATGAGGTCGCCTACACGGCGGCGTCACTACTTCATTCTATCGAAAGAAAGAAGAGACTCGACGCGCACCATTCGGCGAGAACCGCACCACATTCACCGCCGCAGAATGCCGGCTCAGCGTCGCCAGATACTCCACGCGTGCCGGTCGTGGCGCCACACCCTCTCCTCCTCCCTCAAGATCGAGCGGCCGGATATTCGGATACACCATCCACACGCGCACATGGTTGTCCTCCCCCGCCGTCGCGAGCCTATACGCCTGCGCCGCAAAGGCGCTGGGCGCGCTCCCCGGGGGCGGGCGCGCCTTTTTGAAGGGCACGGGCTGGAAGTCGCACGACGAGATCGGCTTGGAGTCGTGCCACCGGATTTCGAGCGTCCGGAACCGCATTTTGGGTCTTGTCGTAGGGCTTAGTACGAGTACGAGGAGCAAGTGAGAGTGGAGGATAAGGCTAGAGGCAGACGACAAACATAAAGTACAGTTTACGGCATTCTTCTGGTTCTTGTTCTGCCACCATCATCTCGATTCTTCCCGACTGACCCCGCGTCGTGGGATCCCATCGCATTCAGACTCCCGCTCACCCACGCGTGCGGAAGAAATGCGGGGCTCTCAGGCTTGTTCCATTTCCCGTGTGTACTTTCAATTTATACGCGTGTGTATGCTCCAATTCCCGTATTTTACCGGCACTCTTCAAAGCTCAACAAAAAGGCCTACCTATCTTATTATCTCTCAAAGTATAGGGAGCGGATGTGGTGCATGGTGCACTTCTGCATTGCATGCGTTGTAGCTATAACCATCCAAGTACGAAGGCAGTTTTCGGGGTTCGACTCCCTGCATCCGCATTTTTTTCAGTTTTGGTTATTTTTGATCACTCGCAACTTTAATTTTTTTTTCTCGCCTCACTCACCGATGGAAGGAACAAGGTCAGGAAGCGGATGTGGTGCACGGTGCACTGCTGTCTTCATTTGGACGTCCAGTAGAAATGTAAGCAGCTCCCGGGGTTCGACTCCCCGCTTCCGCATGGGCTTTCTTCTCGTGTTTTTTTTTTTTTTTTTGGGTCTTTCTCCATTTCTTCACCTCACTTATAGAATTTCAGGAGGAGGGAGGGAAAGCGGATGTAGTGCATGGTGCACCGCTGCTCTCGATTACACAGCCCAGAAACTGTACAGCAGCCACTGGGGTTCGACTCCCCGCGTCTGCATTTGTTTTCAGCTTTGGTCATTTTTGATCACTCGCAGCTCTAATCTATTTTTTTGGTCTCGCTCTCACTCACCGAAGGAAAGAACAGGGTCAGGAGGCGGATTGGTGCACGGTGCACCGCTACCTTTATTCGGACAGTAAAACCAAAGGTGTAAGCAGCTGCCGGGGTTCGACTCCCCGCGTCCGCATGAGCGTCTTGTAGTTTTTTTTTTGACCTTCTACATTGTTTTCTGTAGACTGTCTCACTTATAGAGTTTCAGGATGGAGAGAAGAAAGCGGATCTGGTGTACGGTGCACTGCTGCTCTCTATTCAAGTCTTCAAAGAAGAATTGAGCAGCAATAAGGGGTTCGACTCCCCTTGTCCGCATGTCTTGCTTGCGATGCAATGTTTTTCTCGCAGTTCAAACCAGTTTTTCTTTTTCTTTTTGGTCTCACCTGTTGGAAGAAGTGAACTGGCATAGGAAGCAGACCTGGTGCACGGTGCACTGCTGCTCTTTATTTGTTGGACATGTTGTGCACTGTAAAGCAGCTGCCGGGGTTCGACTCCCCGCGTCCGCCTTCTTGTAGAATCGCGATAATTTTTTGGTTTTTCTTTCTTACATCGAAGCCAATTTTCACCTCACTTATAGAGTTTCCGGAGGAAGGTAGAAAGCGGATGTGGTGCACGGTGCACAGCTGTCTTTAATTTATTGAGATGATGGAGTAAAAATGTAAGCAGCTCCCGGGGTTCGACTCCCCGCGTCCGCATCTGTTTCAGCTTTGATTATTTTTGGTCACTCGCAGCTCTATTTTTTTCCCCCCCTCACTCACGCAAAGCAGGAACAAGTCCAAGAAGCGGATGTGCACGGAGTACTGCTGCCTTTGATATGATGACGGCTATTGCAACATATGAAGCAGCTGCTGGGGTTCGACTCCCCGCGTCCGCCTTCTTGTAGAATCGCGATAATTTTGGGGTTTTTCTTTCTCACATCAAAGCCAATTTTCACCTCACTTTTATAGTATTTCAGGAGGAGGGATGGAAAGTGGATGAGGTGCACGGTGCACCGCTGCCTTGATTAGTGTTGCATCTAAGAACGTAAGCAGCTCCCGGGGTTCGACTCCCCGCGTCCGCATCTGCTTCAGCTTTAATTATTTTTGGTCACTCGTAGCTCTACGTATGAAGTAGCTATCGGGGTTCAACTCCCCATATCTGCATGAGGTGCAAACCCTGTTCTTTTTTTTTCTTTTTGGCTCTGTTCACATTTTCTTTTGTTCCCTGGTTTGAATCTAATTTTTTTGTCTCAGAGAGGAGGAATGAAAGGGCACAGGGAGAGCAGACGTGGTGCACGGTGCATCGCTGCCTTGATTGTGATATGTTTCTAGGACTGTCAAGCAGTCGTTGGGGTTCGACTCCCCGCGTCCGCATGGGTTTGCCGCCTGAGTATCTTTCTCTTTATGCTACACATTTTTTTTGGCCACAGTTCGAATAAAGTGTATTTTCACTCGCTCACCTAGTGATGGAACCAGTGTAAGGAGCGGACATGGTGCATGGTGCACCGCTGCCTTTATTGTGATATGTTTCTAGAACAGTAAAGCACTTGTTGGGGTTCGACTCCCCACGTCTGGATGAGTACATACTCTGCTAGCTATTTGTGCTACGGTTCGAATTCATCTCACTTCTTACCTATACAGCCCAGGCAGGGACAGGGGAGGAAAGCGGAGTGGTGCACAGTGCACCGCTGCACTCGGTTCACCCAAAGCACTCATACTGTGAAGCGCCGTGTCCGCATTGGCTTTCTTCCTGTGTTTGTGGTCACTCGCAGGTTTTTTTTTTCTCGCTCATCACTAAGACAAGGAATGAACAAAGGCAGGAAGCGGACGTGATGCATGGTGCACCACCGCATTGTATACACATTATTCCATCCAAAGAGGCAGTTGTTGGGGTTCGACTGGATCCCCGCGTCCGTATTCTTGCGAGAGCAGATCCTTTTTGGTCATTCGCAGCTCTAACCATTTTTCTCACTCTCACTCACATCAGAATTAAACAAGGGAAGAAAGCGGACATGTATGGCGGTCAACGTGGTACTTTATTCAGAAGGGGTAAAACATCTTAATTTCAGGTATAATGTTCGAGTTTTGGAAGCATATAATGTGTGAAAATGAAGGAGCACATAATCTTACCTAATGTTGGCACATAAACTTTGAAACTTTATGTTGGCACATAAAGTTTGAACCTTTTGTTCACATAAACATTCAACAAATTTCTGATAGCTAAAGGTTTCCTGACATGTTCACCTCTATAACTTTCTCGGCACTTCTCGGCATTGGTAAGTGGCTGTGCTGATGGTCCCGAGGCCGCACCCCGTTGAACCTGTAGTATTCCCTCTCGAAGGACAGCAGGTTACCATGGGCAGTGGCCTTGCTGCTAAAATATAAACCTCTGAGCTCACCGCAATTATCAGTGTGAGAAGTACACCACATATGGGTGCGAAGTTGCTGAATTCGGCAGAGTTCGGCATGCGGCGGTCAGCACAGCCACTTACCAGTGCCGAGAAGTGCCGAGAAAGTTACAGAGGTGAAGATGTCAGGAAACCTTTAGCTATCAGAAATTTGTTGAATGTTTATGTGAAAAAAAGGTTCAAACTTTATGTGCCAACATAAAGTTTCAAAGTTTATGTGCCAACATTAGGTAAGATTATGTGCTCCTTCATTTTCACACATTATATGCTTCCAATACTCGAACATTATACCTGAAATTAAGATGTTTTACCCCTTCTGAATAAAGTACCACGTTGACCGCCATAGACATGGTGCACGGAGCACCGCTGCATTGCATGTACAAAATCCCAGATAAATTGGTGAGGCAGCTGTCAGGGTTCGACTCCCTGGGTTTCTTCTTCATTTGCAATTTTTTTTGGTCACTCACGGTTTGAGTCTATTCTTTCACCTCTCATATTATTATTAGGAGAGTTGAACTGGGGTAGGAACCAGATGTAGCTCTCGGGGTTTGACTCCCCTAGTCCGCATATTTCAGCCATATTCTGTTCTTTTTGGTCACTCGCAGCTCTAAACTTTTTTTAGTCTCACTCACACAGAGTCGGAATGATCAAGGGTATGAAGCAGATATGGTGTATGGTGTACTTCTGCATTCCATGTATGTCGTAGGTGTCTATGAAGGCAGTTATCGGGGTTCGACTCTCTGTGTCCGCACTGGCTTACGTCCAAGCATTTTTTCCCCCTTTCTTGCATCGAATTTTTCACCTCACTTATAAAATTTCAGGAGGAAGATAGAAAGCGGATGTGGTTCACGGTGCACCGCTGCCTTCACTATAGAAGAGTCGGAAGGATTAAGCAGCTCCCGGGGTTCGACTCTCCGCGTCCGCATTCCCGTCAGCGTTGGTTCTTTTTGATCACTCGCAGCTCTAAATTATTATTATTTTGTCTCGCTCTCACTCACACAGAGCCTAGAGGAGGAACCAGTATAAGAAGCAGACGTGGTGCATGATGCACCGCTGGGTTTACTCTGATGCATTCGAAAGAGTAAGCAGCTGCCGGGGTTCGACTCCCCGCGTCCGCATTGCTTCGATATCGACCTTTTTTGTTTTTTGTTTTTCTTTCTTACATCGAATTCAGTTTTGAGTCTCAATCACGCAGGGAATGAACAAGGATGGGGAGCAGACATGGTGCACGGTGCACTGCTGCATTCCATACATTGTACGGCTAGTAAGGCAGCTCTCGGAGTTCGACTCTTCGCGTCCGCATCCTTTTCAGCTTTGGTTATTTTTGGTCACTCGCAGCTCTAAATTATTATTTTTCCTCACTCACGCAGAGCAGGAACGAGTCCAAGAAGCAGATGTGGTGCACGGAGTACTGCTGCCTTTATTGCGACAACCTCCTAGAAGAGTAAAGCAGCTGTCGGGGTTCGGCTCCCTGCGTCTGCATTCTTTTCAGCTTTGGTTCTTTTTGGCCACTTGCGGTTCGAACCCAATTTTTAGTCTCACTAACACAAAGAATGAACCAGGACAGGAAGCGAACATGATGCATGGTGCACCGCTGCCCTTTGTTACACATTTTGTACAATAAAGCAGCTCTCGGGGTTCAACTCCTCACATCTGCATGTGTATTCCTTGGCTAGATTTTTGTGCTACAGTTTAAATTCAAATTTTTCTTCTCACTCACAAAGAGAACGAACTAGGGCAGAAAGTGCATGGTGCACCGCTGTCTTTACTGTTACGATGATTACTGGGAAGAGTAAGCAGCCATCGGGGTTCGACTCCCTGCATCCGCATGCCACAAACTGCTCTACTTTTTTTATTAGGTTTTCGTGATTATTTTCAGCACTTCTAGATGCCACAACTAGCGCGATTTGGAGCGGTGTTTGCCTCATGAACATGCATGAACTCCCGACTCTTTTGAGGCTGTCAAAAAGTTATAACACAGATGGCAAACACATCGCGCTTCCCAACTCCTACTACACCTCTGCGGACAAGTAACATAATAGTCCGACGATGCACAGTAGCCAAATAGGTGGCCAGAAAGTCCTCGCACCACCGTGCAATGGTGGAGTCGAAGATGAATCCATAAAAAAAAGTCATAGAACATATTATCCCGAATTGGATTGAAAAAGGAGGATTGAATTAGATTGAATTGAATGGATACAGATGCAAACCCAACAAGAGGTACGAGACGGTGTGGATAGATAGATGTAGCTAGCTGGTGGGCAGAGAACGGACAGCGCGACGTCGATAATCGGTCGGGGGCCTAGGAGACGAAGGAGAAATCGAGTCGTGGTGTTGATACAATCGAGAGGAGTGGTATGGTAACAACAACATTGGCCGGGACGCCGGGTGGTTGTCATCGATGTCTCTCGTTCGCGGGGACGGCGTTGAGGTTCGCCCCGATGGAGGAGCAGTTGGCGGCGTGCTGGTTGCTCGCCGTGATGAGGGAGCGGATGGCCTGGTCATTGAAGGACGACTTGAAGGACGCGGTTGTGGGTGCCTCGTGCGCACTGTCCACGCCTTCGTCAAAAAGCATTGATACGCCTAGCGAGAGGGCGTCGACGTTGCGGGAAGGCGAAACTTCGTCTGCGGAGATAGCCGAGGCTGACATCAACGCCGTAGCCGGGTTCTGCCGAGACAGCGCGACAAGTTGAACTTTTGACTGGCAAGTTGACAGGCACAATGAATCCAGCCGGCAACTTGCGCGCAACTGTATTCTTACGCTTGGTCGCCCCAGTTGCTGAGTCCTTATGTCTTGATTTGCTGACCAACTCCAAGGACCATTCGGACTCCGAGTCGGACTTCTACATTTATCCATATTTACAGCTCTGGCAATATGCAACTACTAGTAACGCATGGGGACCTGAACGTTGCATACCCCCGCGGATTG